ATGCCAGGACAAACCTGAGGCCAGAATGTCAGGACCACAAAATAGAAGCCTGTGTCCCTGAATCACTACTTAGAGGAGAACTGCTTGACACACATCAAACATGAGTGAGAAATAAAATTTGTTTTAAGCCAAGGAAATTTAGCACATTACTTGTTACCTCGGTATTATCTATCCTATCCTGAATAATAGGCCTCCTAAGTTTACAAAGCTAACAAGTGATAGGACCAGGAAAATCCCGACTCCTCACCACTATGCTATACAACCTCCTAAGTGGGTCCCCACCCCCAGCACACAGGCCTTTTATTATAATACACATGGAAGAAGAATGTTTTTGGTGATTCCTACACTATAGCTCAGTAGCTGATTCTGCAGCTCTAAAAGAGAGTAAATGTTAAATTCAGGACTCAACTACTTGGCTGGTGCTTTCTACATCAGAGTGATAGTATTTACCTGGGGGAAGAAAATTCTCCTCTAAGTCTTAATAGTTTGTCGTGACCTCAAGGCTCAGTGTGAAATTGGGCAATGTCAAATTCAGCAGTTTTTTTTCATTGAAGTCTCATTTCGGTTTCTAAGTTATATAACCAACAGAGCAGACAACAGAAACTATATTACCCACATAGGGTTTCTGACCAGCATCAAAAATCTCCTCTTTAGATTAGATGGTGGTGAGCCCTCAGACTTGTTCAGTGGAAAAATGAATGTCCCCTATTCAAAGCCTAAACTTTTCCCAAAGGTTTCTAGTTATTCCTCCCATCTGCCACCCGCCCTTGGTGTTGTTCATTACATATTGGCACTTTCACGTGGGTCTACAAGATAAAGAAGTAGATCAGAAACAAAAATGAGATCTATTCATTTTCTACTTGCTTGTATTAGATGCCAATTACGTATGATTTTCATAAGAGTGGGCATTTTAACTATGTGAGTTATGGGGTTATGTGTGAATATCCTTCATTCATATTATCTTTATCCCAAACAGCCACCAATACTGCTTATGTTGCTGTCCAGTGAACAAGATAAAATACGCCTTTTTCTCAATGAGGACATATATTCCTTCGATCTATTTTGTGACTGAATCAATGTGGCATTATTAACAAAGCAGAGGATACCATGAATCAGCCAGAAAGAAGAGCCTTGTAATTCCCATCTCATTTCCCAACTGAGCAATCATCTATAGATAACATGCCTACTAGAGCCCTTTAGTATCTTATGAGATTCCACAGTTGAGAGGACATTTGCAGACTCACACAGGGACTATAATTCTGACCTGTGAGGCAAGCAAAAAATGGAAATAGACTTCCTCCCTTCATGTGGGTGGGACTCAAAATTGGGCAAGACTTCCTTCCTAAAAACTTTTTAAAAATTTGAGTCTTATTCTAGTTGCTGGAAGAAGAAACTACAATTCCATCCAAAGGTTATATCCAGAACTGCCCACTCACCCCCTGCCTGGGGAGAGAATACCTAGAATTCATCAGATTTCCTGAAAGATCTGGGACTCAGAGAAGGTTAAGAAGGTGGTTGAGTAACTTAGTGGTTGAGTCTGCTTTGTGGCAATCATCAAACCCTGTGCTTAAATAAAATCCTCAGTACATCAACCATTTAATCTTTCAGCCTAAGTAACAGCATTAACAGCTGGAGAAGGTTCCTGAGAAAACTATGATTCTGTCTAAGATTCACTGAGAGTCAGGACACATGGCTTCTATTTACAGGTTCTGCCACTAACATGATGCATGAATTAGGCAAGTTATCTCATCTTCCTGGGCTGCAGTTTCCATATCTCTAATTAAGGAGTTGGACTAACTCAGAGGTTATAAATCTCACCTGGAGACCTGGACCCCACCCACCAACAATTGGAAGAGACTTGCTGGAGTTGGTGCACTGGAATCTGATTTTTTTAGAAATGCATCTCAAAACATTCTGTTATCTGCCAGGTGTGCAAAGGATTGTAGCAGACATTCCTTATGGTCACTTCTGGCTTTAAAAATTAAACTCATATTCTCTGCACTTGGCAGACTCTGAATCAGCATGAAGTGTTAAGTCAACAGAGTGAATATATTGTGGTATTCTTCTTAAATGCAAATGGTTAATACTATATGTAAATGAAATAATTTATTTAGAGAACCTACCACAATAGTGTTCACCAAACAATGCACACTTACCTCATATAATTGCACTGAAAATTAATGGACATAATGGCCGGGAAGCATTTGTCAAGGTGCTTATCCCATAATGAAAACTTTATGTATCCTATGCACATAGTGACTGTAGCAACAATCATGATTCCCACTCACATCTAACTTCACAATTTAAAAAGGTTTGTTAATATAAATTATGTATTCAAGGTAAAAATAAATAAATAAAACTTAATGAATTGATAGATAATAGGATGATGATGACAGGGACATTGGTTTGAAGACTGCCACAAAGCAGACCCAACCACTAACCATTAGAGAACTTGTTACTCAAAGTGTGCCCCAAGGGTCAGCAGCATCAGTCTTACCTGGGGAGAGTTTCAGGCCCTATCCTAGACCTCCCCAATCAGAGCCTGCACTTTAATGAGAGCCCATGTGATCTGTATTACACACATAGGTTTGAGAAGCACTGATACAGGGGCGAGGGGGGGAGGGGGGGAGACGGGATTCAACAACATGACAGAACTCATACCAAGCAGAACGCAAACCAAGGAGCTGGAATCACACCAAATCAGAGGGTGCTAAGGCCAGTGCCTTACACCTCAGGGGGCATCTCTGACCTGTAGCTGTTCAGGGTCCTGCATCCACTGGGATGCCCTTTTGCCCATCTGAGCTGTAACCCAAAGCCTTTCGTGTCTACCACAGTAGCAACAGCACCAGAACTTTGTTTTATTTTCACTTCTTTAATTATTCAGCTGTTGTAAATGTCACCATTTGGTGCATTATTACAAACCTTATGTCTATAATATTTCTGATCAATGACTATCTGGGCACCTAAACAGATATAAAATGGGTTGACTGTTTTGATAACATTCAACATTGATGAAACATACTATATTTTCATAACAATAATGGTTCCAACATTTGTATAAACAGCAACAGATCTATTTTCCTAATTGTCTAGGAAAATAAAAGCAACAGTGAAAGGGTGACAGAAATACCAAATAAGTCTCACTTACTAGGTGGATCATTTTCAACTGCAATGATTTTTGTTTTTTTATATGAATAAAATTGTTAATTTATAGTATGTAATACCACTTTAAAATGAAAAAGTCTTTTTAAGCACGAAACTATGTGGATGAAACCTGAAGCATGTTTTCAGATTATGTCATAATTTCCAGAGCTTTTTTATACCTCATGGATAGTGCATGTTCTTTAATGTGCTTCTCCACAGATAGTATCACATAGCTTGATTTTATATGTCCTGAGATCCAAGCTTAAGTGATTCTACATTACACATTTGTTTTCACATTTTAGTATCTTTGAAATCAAGATCTGTCTTACAACTGATGGCATGTCACTGTGATTGGCAGAATTTTTTTTTATCTTTTACAATCAATGTGATCTTTTTTTTCTTTCATTTTAATAAATTAATTGGGGTGGCATTGGTTAATAAGATTATACAGGTTCTGACTGTACATTTCTATGCTCCATGATCTTCCATTTCATTGTGTCTGTTTCAACCCCTTTTTTTAAATATATTTTTTATTGATTTTGTTGAGAGAGGAAGGGAGAAAGATAGAGAGTTAGAAACATCAATGAGAGAGAGTCATCGATCAGCTGCCTCTTGCACACCCCCCACTGGGGATGCGCCCGCAACCAAGGTACATGCCCTTGACCGGAATCGAACCGGGGACCCTTCAGTCCCCAAGCTGATGCTCTATCCACTGAGCCAAACCAGTTTTAGCCAATCCCTTTTAATAGTGCTTTGTAGTTTTCAGTATATAGGTCTTTCACGTCCTTTTTAAGTTTATTCCTATATACTTTATACTTTTTGTTACAATTGCAAAAAGGAATTTTTTTTTCTTTCATTTCTTTTTCTGAAATCTCATTGTTAGTATATAGGAATGCAGTGGGTTCAATGGGATCTTAAATTCAATTAAATAAGGGATTTGGATCCCCAGTAAACCTAATCCTAGTTTACAAGGAACATCATAATGAGTAAAACAAGTGGGACAGAAAGAATACATGACTCCCACCTGTATTCAAGTAAGAAGGAGAGATGGTTAAACAAAAAGAAATGAGACTGAATAAGTTTCCATGGGTTTCTATTTTCACAGAGCCAGAGGAAAAAATCGTGGAAGATGAAAGAATTTAGCAAAAGGGTAGCAAAGTGGAATAAGAGAGATGGAAAACAAAGGAGAGTGAATGAAGTATCAAGATGGAAAATGTAGGCAATAAGCCACGATTCTGATAATTGTTCCCTAGGTGCGGTGTCCTATACCAGACATTCCACTTTCTGCTCCCCATCTCCTTTTTTTCTTTTTTCTTTCTTTTTTTTTTTTTTTTTTTTTAGTAACACACACTGGCCAATAGAGCTCCTTGAGTGTGGATTGTAGGAGGTGTTTTCAGCATCTTTCAAGATGCATTTTCTGTTCTCTGGCCTACACAGGTGGATCAATCAACCCCAACACTCTCTGAACCCCCATCTCTTTCCTCTCCTCCTACATTTCACCCAGTCCCTAAACCACCTGCTAAGGTTTAAATCAACAATTTTCACCCAATGTGCCACAATAATTTTTAAAACATGCAATACCTGACTATTTAGTCAGCAGCACTGACCTCCTTTTCCCTTAGATTGTCCAATTAAAAAAAAAAAAAAAGACAACAGCCAACACAATGAGAGCCAATAGTGTGAATGAATAAAAATTATACCTACTTTTTTGTCAGATCAGCAAAAAATATATATTTCTTGGTGTGCTGAAGAATTTTAGTAATTAGTTTATGTGTGCCATTAAATGAAAAATGTTGAAAATCTTGATGAAGATGCAAGTTTAAATGATTGTTACAACTTCTACTTTGTTGTTTCAGGTGATAACAAGATTATCAAACAAATCTACAGTCTCACAGGTATGGCTTTTCTCTAAGAGAAAAATATGTATATAAGATCTGTAGGATTCCCACTAAACCTGTTCCCTAATACACTTCTCAACATGAGATGTGGTGATAGACTTTCTTCAGTTTTGTTTGTTATTGTTGAAGAGTAGGTTGTTACCAAAACCTGACAAAAGTAGCAAAGTCCTGAGTTAGTGATCTTAGAGACACTTTGATTGTGTTTGAAATTAGTAGCCAAATGTTTTCTTATGAACATCCCATGGAGGGCACAGTGTGATTACCCATAATGTAAAAATTATGGTTCAGAGGTATTTTGGAAGTGGTCTCACATGGTCTCTTAAGACATTCCTAACTTTTAAGAATCCTCTAATTTCAAAGAAAACTTTCCCAAGAAATAGTGATTTGCCAGATCTATTATCTAATAGAAATAGACTCATAAATATAAAGAACAAACTGATGATGGCTAACCAAGGGGAGAGTGAAAAAGGTAAAGAGACAGAGAAGTACACATTGGCAGTTACAAAACAGTCATGGGGATGCAGAGTACAGCATAGGGAATATAGTTAATAATACTGTAATAACTATGCATGGTGCCAGGTGGGTTCTGGAAATATTAGGGGGATTGCTTCATAGAGTATATGATTGTCTAGCCACTATACTGTACACCTGAAATTAATACAAAATCATATTGAATGTAAACTGTAATTGAAAAAAATTTGAATAATAATCCTTTGACAACAACCCTGTAAACAGTTTTCTTGTTCTGTCCTGTCCTTGAAACAGTACCCAAATTTCACACACTTGCATACACACACAGACACACAGAGGCACACAAATACATCCAATCACAGAACACATCACATTTTTTTCTTTGTTTCATCATCCTCAATGTATGACTTCATTCTTTAAGATGTCCTCATTTTCTAAAATGACCACTGGTGAGCCATTCATTTCATCAATATTTTTCAGTCTAGAAAGTAAAAGAATGTGAAAGAGCAGGATAGAAGCTCCCCTCTTTCTAGACATCTTCCTAAAACTTCTTTATAACCTGTTCATTTACATGCTATCATCCAGAATTTAGCCTCATTGCCAAACCACGCAGCAAGGGCAACTGGAAACAGTGACCTCTGGTCAATGGAAAATTATGTAACAAAGGGATAACAGTACTCTCTGGAGCACCTGCCCTGATATAAATACTGTTTTTATTTTCTTCATGATTATCATCATCACAAGGGCAAGCATTTACTAAACACTTGCAATGCGTATTGCTAAGTGTTTAACTTTCATTGTCCAATATCTAATTTTTCTCTCAAACTATTCCCAATTCACATGCTAGTTTAAACAATTCTATTACTTGACCAAGGTTATAGGTAATAAGTCACAGGGCTTCTAAGGGCTGGAATTCAACCACTGGACTTTATTTCTGCTTTTCCTTTAGTCAAGAAAGGTTCAATGAAGTTTAGTTATTTTTGAGTGTGAAATGACTATCCAAGCAAAATGTCATGAGCTAAATTAGAGGTTCCTTTCACTAGGGAGATAAAAACCTTACTGCCCTCATAAGAGCATTTGTCAGGGAAAGATGAAGGGGAGGGTCAGAAGAGAAGGAAGAGGTCTACCCTGACCAGGAATTGAGCCTGCAACTTTTGGTGTATAAGATAATGCCCCAACCAAGCCACACCAGCCAGGGTTCTACGGTTGAACTTTATGGCAGTGTATGCATAGGTGGATCCAGCTACACAAGGTAAGTGGGAGTTTCTATGGTAGATAAGATACTGAAGAAAGTAACTGGTATTCCTGCAGAGAGACTGCATGTAGCTCTGGGTATCTAAAAATCTAATAAATATGTGCCCTGTCTGCAATGATGGTAGTTGGGAGAATTACCTCTTGATATAAGTAATGTCAGATGCCTTGTTCACAAGAGTCAGTATCTAAGCAACTTTTTCAAGGCATCAAGCCTCTGTGACAAAATGGATGAAATTTAAACTTGTAGAAGAACAAACACGATAGGTTATTAGTCAGACAATTCTAGTATAGCCACTAGAGCCTCCTAGAAACAAAGGAATAAATTGCCAGTGCAAATGTAAACAGAAGTCCAATTAGAGAATGCACTCATTGTTTTTCACTTCTTTGATAAGTTTGCCCTGTTGTGTCTTTAGCTAGGTGAGCTAGTTTTTCTATTCTATAATACTAGTATACAAATGTTCACCTGCAATTCATGTGGAGCTTTTGTTAAAAGCGCAGCATTTTTTAATGTTGTGAAGAACAAAAAAACAAACAAACAAATAAAAGCAATACCATGACTATTCCAATAAATAACTTATGGCTTCACCATCTAATTAAAATAACTATACGTAGTTGGAAGGATGAGTCTAATACCATATCCTCAATAAATTTTGAGCCACTAAGAATAAAATACAAATATATATATATATATATATATATATATATATATATATATATATATATATAGAGAGAGAGAGAGAGAGAGAGAGAGAGAGAGAAATTAACCATTTATTTCACTTAGCACTTAAACTAAATAGGCTATTGCCTTTAAGATTCAAATTCATTCTTTTATTATATCTATTGTTATAAGATAGCAAAACCTATATACATCAATAAACCATCTATTTAGCCAAAACCGGTTTGGCTCAATGGATAGAGTGTTGGCCTACAGACTCAAGGGTCCCTGGTTCGATTCTGGTCAAGAGCATGTACCTTGGTTGTGGGCACATCCCCAGTAGGGGTTGTGCAGGAGGCAGCTGATTGATGTTTCTAACTTTCTATCCCTCTCCCTTCCTCTCTATAAAAAATCAATAAAATATTTTTTTAAAAACTATTTATTAAAATGAAGTAATAATGAGAACTTGTTGAGATTTAAATAGTACTAGTAGGTCTTTTCAGTTTCTCTCATTTTTATTGAAAATTATTGATGGGTAGGTATACTAGTAAGTGATTGTATCTTCAAAAGAAAACAAGGCACAGAAAAGTGAATTGAGCTTTTGGAGCAAGGAAGCCATGTCTGGGGCAGAGGTATAAATATTTACAGTTAACTCTACCCACTGCTACTAGTTAAGCCTTTGCCCTCTCTACCCTGACCCTCCATCATCACCTCAATTGTCCTTTCCCCTTTTCTCCCTTACTTCTTCTTAGCCTATAAGGTTTAATGACCCCAGTCAAGATCCGGGTGGTACTAGGATGAGGCATGGCAAGACTTTCTCCTTCCTTTCCCAAGGCTCTTCAAGGGAGCAGATGGAATGGTTTTCTCCATTTCCTACTAACCAACTCAGAAAAAGGAAAGCAGGAAACAGTAGCTGAGGACACTGCTGATATTCTTCCATCTATGTGATCCAAATAGGAAAGATTTTCATTCTCAAGGATATTTTAATTTTGCTAGCTGATCTCCACATAATGTTCTACTGAAGACCTTGTATATTTAAAATAACAAAGGCCAAGAACTTCCAGTAAAATTAAAAACGTCTTTATTCCGTCTTTATTCGTGGGCTAATCCCAAAAAAGCAGAGAGGTTAGGCTAGGAAAAGTCATAAGTGGAGACACTTTTTTTTCCTAGAACCATTTCTCAGTGGGGGAACTTTTGACACCTGGATAACATATAACAAAATCTTGAAAGTCTTTCATTTTGATGAGAATTAAGTCTCTAAGAGATTGGGCTCTGTTCTGACAGAACCTCCAGTGTAAATGATATACCTCTCAAGAGGTCTTTGCAATTCATACTAATCTATATTATCCACTGATTTAGTCAGAGCCCAAGGGAAATGGCAGCATCAACAGGAGACTGCCATCCATTGTGGAAGATGAGGAAGATGAGGAGGAGGAGGAAGAGGAGACCGCCTCCCTCTCTCCTATCTACACGAGGGGATCCTCCTCAACACGGAACAAGAAGGTGGGAAGCAATAAAAGCTATCTAGGTTTAAGCTTGAAGCAGCTGGCCTCAGGAACAGTGCCATTTCACTCGCCTATCAGAGTCTCCAGTTCAAGTTCCCCAAAAAGCAAACAGGAAGCTGACCCGCCTAATCACAGTAAAAAGAAAGAGAAGAACTTGAAATTGCAGCTTTCAACCTTGAATAGTGCTGCACCCCCAGACCTCAGTCCAAGGTAAGAATACACGTCATCTAATTCTTCCCCAGGTGAAAATGGCTGCCTTTTATTCAGACCAGAACCTGGCTAGTAAATTATTCAGCCTTCTGGGTCTTTCTAGTGCACAAGATCCAAGCCTGGATGTTTCAGCTTTCCTGAGTTTTTTGTGTAATTTTTTCTCTATGTGGAGGTATGTGCAGATATGAGAAAAAATAAGAATTTTGTTAGGTTTTTTTTTTTTTTTTTTTTTTAGAATAAATAGTTTTAATCATATTCTCAAAAGGATTCAATACAATACAATCTGAACTAAAAGTGTGAACCAAATAATTTTACATTTTCTAGTAGACATATTTTTAAAGTAAAAAAAAAAAAGTGGCCAGGACCGGTTTGGCTCAGTGGATAGATCGTCAGCCTGCGGACTGAAAGGTCCTGGGTTCAATTCCGGTCAAGGGCATGTACCTTGGTTGTGGGCACATCCCCAGTAGGGAGTGTACAAGAGGCAGCTGATCAATGATTCTCTCTCATTGATGTTTCTAACTCTCTATCCTCTCTCGTCCTCTCTGTGAAAAATCAATATAATATATTTTTTTAAAAAGAAAAGAAAAAAAAGAAAGTCCTCAAAAAAAATGCTCAATAATCTTATAAAGCTAATGGCTGCCATATTGAATAGCATAGCTCTAGAATATCTAGAATTTAGAAATTTAACACAATATTTTTAAGTCTTTAAGAAACTTTGGAACCCATGAATATAAATTCAAAATTAACCCATTTCCTTTATCTTAAACAGGATTGTTGATGGAATTGAAGATGGAAACAGTAGTGAAGAAAGCCAGACTTTTGACTTTGGCTCTGAACGAATCAGACCAGAACCCAGAATTTCTCCTCCTCTTGGAGGTAAAGATATTTAGCCTTCTCTCAAGGGGAAATATTTCTTTTTAATTTCTAATGTTTGGCATTAGAAGTTAAAAAGAATATTTTCCATGTGATAGGACTGACCAATGCCATGGAATAATTTGACTTGAGTCTGTGTTATCTCCAAGTTATTAAAACACCATTTGTAATTGCTCCTCTGTCCAGGTTAGATGTCCTGACATTTACCAGCCAAGGTAACTGATGTGTTAGAAGACTCAAATTTCTGAGTTTCCTAACACACCATCAGAGGATGACCATGTTTTCCTATTATAAATGTAGACTAATCCACAAAAACACTACCCAGAGGAAATGCTGTGTTAGTTGCGCACTGTAGGAACATTGGTTATATTTAACCAATTTATTTGGTGAGAGGTTATGTACTTGCATTTTGTCAGAAGATAAACAACTTAAGAAGTATGTAAACATTTTAGAAATGATGAAAAACTATATGAAGTGCTAACCTCTAGTGATGGTGAATTAATGTAAGCGGTAGCCCCAAACATAGCTCAGGCTCCTCTCTCTCCCTTTCATTCTTGAGTTCATTGGCCATAAAAATGAATCTAACAACATAAAAGAGGACAGAAAGGACAAATAAATTATAAAGAAGACACCCCTATAGTTAAGCATAATAAAGAAGTATTAAATAGGTATAAACTATCTAAAACAATTACCAGCAAACTACCAGATGCAAGGCCAGCAATCCCCTGTCAACCCTCTCCTCTCCTTCATGCCCAGCTGATATCCCCTCCTGCTAATTAGTAAATCCCTCCATGAACAAAGCCAAGCCTAAGAAGAACTTTTGAATGTACAGTTCTGAGGGTATGTCTTGGTTGGCAGAATACCAATATTCCATCTCAATCAAAAGTTCTTTTTCCCAACACTTATCATCTTCTAGGGAAATGGGAGGGTCCTTGTAAGACTCACTGATTGGGAGGGGGGGTGGGTAATGCAGATGTCAGTCAACAATCCTGATTAATGTATTATTTTGACTTACATGTGCTGATATTACTCTGCTTAGGGCAAGGGGCACAGAAATCATAGTTATAGTCAAATTGGTGCATTTGCCACGAAAGCTGTTTGTGGGGCTCATTTGGAAGTTTTCTTTGTTGGATCACCTGAGTCTGGAGATTCGGCACAGAACCTTACTGTGTCCATCCACCTATTCCCACTAACTTCTTAGCTTCCTCTTCTCCCTTTTTCCATCATCGATCCCTACACTCATTCATTCAAGCAACACATTTTCTTGATTCTATATCCTACATTTCTCTCAGTTGTAGGACTTTCTATCCTTACTGCCTCCACCCTTTTCCTTGCCACATTTATCTCTTGCCTGCATTGCTACCAAAGTCTCTTCTCTTTTCTCATACTTTTCTTTATATAAACATTTTTAAAATATAAATTGATTCCGATTACTCCCTATTTCCCTTAGTATGAAATTCAAAACTATTGCATAATTACTTTTCAAATGTCTCTTTTCCCTGCTAGATTCTGAGCTTCATGAAGGTCAATTATATTTTATTCATTCATTGCTAATCATCTCTAAAGGAGGCCTAGCCTGTGGTATATGATCTCTCATCATTCATTCATTTGCATAGCTTTGCAAATTATCTCTGCAAAGTGAGTCCTTCCTATTCTGCCACTTCTGGTTGTTTTGAATGAAGTGTTCTCCCACAAACAAGTTTTCTACCTGTAATTGACCAAAATTAGAATATTAGAATGATCATAGCATAATATACATATATCCTTTCTACTGCAGCCAGCAATGATTCATCTGTACTTTTGTCCCTGACAGAAATAAATGCATTTGGAAGATTAAGGTAGAGAAAATAGAGATGAGAGAACCAGGAAATTGGAGAAATTATCTTTTAGCACGACATGGGAGGAGACGGAAAACCTGCAGTGGAGATTAGGAATAGAGGTGGGAGGAAAATACTCACATGGGCACAGAAATCAATATTTAGGGGGGAGGAGAGGGAATAAAAAGGAAAAAAAGAACATCCCTTTTCTATGGCTTGGGCAGTGGCTGTAATACTATATATATATTTAGAGAACTGTTAAAGAAGAGAAAATGTGACCTCTTGCAACACAGTGGTGATTATATTCAGGCAAAAGGGAGGATTGCCATGTTCACACTCAGTCACTACCGTCACAGTCACCACCCTGATGTGTGCCTGGTTCCAAAAAGTGTATCGTGTACCATGCAGAGAACTAGACACTTGCCCAATCCCAGGGAGACAGAAACTACAGTGCACAGACATCAGAAATCTCTAAAGGCAGTAACTCAGGCTTCTTTCCCTAATACTATTGACCCAACTCTCAAACGTGATATTTATTCCTAAAGGACTCCTTCTGTGTGTGTGTGTATGTGTGTCACTTTTCAGACCCAGAGATTGGAGCTGCTGTTCTCTTCATCAAGGCAGAGGAGACCAAGCAGCAGATAAAGAAACTCAACAGTGAGGTATGGAGCTCTCACTTCTTTTAATCATGCTGGAATGGTAAGAGGAGATATGTTGTAATATTGTCATTACAACTAGGGGCTTTGCTGTCAGACCACCATGGATAAACTCCCACTAAGACTCATATGAGTTATGTGACCTTTGATAAATCACTTTCCCACTCTCAAGCTCTGATTCCCCATGAGTAGAAGGGGATAATAATTATGTTTATCTTGTAGTGCACTGTGAAATGGAGATGCTCTAGGTAAATCATTCTATATATTTAAAGCCTAATGTGCAAATCAACTGAATGGAGGAACTACCACTCCTTATGATGCGACTGACCACCAGGGGGCAGACACTCAATGCAGGAGCTGCCCACAGGCCCCAGGCCAGCCAAGGCAGGTGCCAGCAGGGGCCCTCCTGATCGCCCCACCCTTTGCCCAGCAGAGGCAAACAACTGGTAGCGGCGGGGGTGGGGCTAGTGAGCAGGTGGCAACAGGCAGCGCTAGGCCCTCCAAGGTGGCTGCTAGGGGGAGCCCCCAATCGCCCCACTGGTTGCCCCACAGATAGGCCCTGATTGCTGGTCAGGCCTAGGGACCCCACCCATGCACGAATTTCATGCACCAGGCCTCTAGTTTAGCATAAAGTAAACACACAATAAGTGATAATTATTATAATTAGCATATTAAATATATTGATATTTGGTTTAATTGGGGCTTTTTCACTTCTTTCGTGTACTTTAGTTTTTAATGGGTTAAAGCAAGATCATTAGTCCCCAGATGAATCAGAAGTTATGAGTCATAGCAATCAAATGTCCTGAAACTCTGTTCCTTTCTCTGACACATATCTGCTGTGTAACTCTGAACAATTTAACTATGTGAATCTTATCACCTATCCTTGTAAAATAAGGTAATTTTTTTAAGCAACCCTATTGAGGTATATTTCACCTAATATAAAATTCGCCCATTTCAAGTGTACAATTCAATGATTTTTAGTATCTTTATTGAGTGGATCAACCTACACCATAAATTAGTTTTAGAATATTTTTATCTTCTCAATAAGATCTCTCATACTCATTTATAATTAATCTTGTTCCTACATCCAGCTCTAGAAATACATTTATCTACTTTCTGGACCTTCTGTATAAATAGAGAAAGTAATTTCTGAATTACTGTCTTAATTTATGCTACCCATTCCCCAATATAATAAAATTTGGAGAAGGGGAAAAAACAGATTTTGAGATAATAATTTGGATGCAAATAGTTTATTTGGGATGTGATTCAGGAAGCAAGATGAAGGAGTAGAGAAGCAAGGCAGAAAAGAAATGAAAGCAAAAATACATGGGTGTGTTAATGAGATAATTAACTCTGTGGGCAACTGGGGTGCAATCCTGCTGAAAAGCACTAAAAGATGGTAAGACAACTCAAAAGTGTACCATCATGAGGCAAGGAAAAGTAGAGTTGAGGGTGGTTCCTAGGGGATTAACCCTCCAGGCCTCACTGCAGAGAACACTGGAAAGACTCCTCAGACAGGAATATGGTGACCTTCAGGGTGGACCTGGGGTAAGGACATGTGGGCAGGCACAGAGAGTATAACAGAATTCCTTGCAAGTTTTTTATTACATGATGAAATTTTAGCAGAAAATGTAACCAGTTGATATTGATGAGATTTGAGAGCAATTAAATTCATATCCATTATAATCATTTTCCAATTATCTGTAATAATGGAAGGCTAGGTAGCTGGTCATCAAGTTCAAAGGTTTTTCTAAAACCTGTATTTCTTCAGCTTAGTGAAAGTTTATGTTTTACTGCCATCTCCCCTTCTGAACCTATATTCTCTGAGATTGTCACTAACAAGAAGTTAGATGACCCAAGGGCAGATTAACAAAATAGGCAAAGAAAAACTAAGTAGTAGGGAGGATGGAGGGGACAATGGGGAGATAAGGACACATATGTAATACCTTAATCAGTAAAGAAATTTAAAAAAAAAATAACTAGAATGAAAATTCTTCAATCACAAGGGCTTGCTCAAACACTGAGTCACCCCCCAAAAAAAAAATCTCTGGCTAAAAACGTACCCCCAAAAGAACACAAAACTAAATCTAAACACCCTGTTGGAAAATTGGTCATTAACCTTCTACCCAACAATTTCTTTTCAGATACTGTTCTTGACTAAAACCACCCATTAATACTATTTGAATTCTTTGCCCTCACATTTGAGATCATTTGATGGTTTAAGAACTGATTGACCCAAATCTTAGCTCAAGTATTGGACTTAGTGATTATTCTTGAGGGGAGGGAGGGAGCGTTTATATCTTCACTCGTTGGAATGTAGGTAATTTCCCCAATTACAGCTGTAAATCTAAGTGCTACATGATTTTCCTTTGATAATGTTAGCCAGTGGTAGGTGTGTTAAAACAGAAAACTACTTGAAAAACAAAGTATTTCCCCAATGTGATTCTGTATTCATGATTGCTTTTCCAGTGAGATGGAATAAATCTTTCTTATCTTGTCATATATTGAAATAAAAAGAGCAAGATAAAATACCAATGATCCAATTTTCCTCCCCTAGAGAATTAGTTTTTCTTTATAGAAATATATCTGATTTCATCATGGCTGAAACTTAAGTTAAAAAAAAATCTTATCCTTTACACATAATTTAATTTATACATAGCCCTGACCCTTTGGGTAGTGCATTAAAACCCACTAAGACAGGCAGAATGAAAAAAACAATGGCCTTCCCTCTGTAAAATTATTCTCTATTAAAACTTCCTACTTGTCTTTTCTTCCTATCTCTTACAAAGTAATGTTTACATAGCAAAAAAAAAGTCCAAGCCTCATTTTTTCCATTTCACCTATTGTCTACTGCACACATATGTGGTCATTTAATTGCTATGCTGTTTATTCTATTCTTTTAGGAGTAAGCAAGAGAAGAAATGACAATAAATGTGGGATGTACTGCATGACAGTAACTGCAGCCAAAAGTCAATCCCCAATATCTGTGAGGCATGCTGAGCATTGTGCACAGCTAAGAGCATTGCAGAAACCCCACTTTGGTATTTGCCAAACAGCTAAGGTGTAACACAATTGTTCACTGACGTGTAGATTTCAAAATCAGCTGGTTAAATGTTGAACAAAAATCAGAAAAGAAACACTATTGGTAATAACCTACTTTTCCAGAACAGTTAAGACAGTTAAAAAGATGTAGGACAGCTGCTAATATTAGAACACTTTTGAAAACATTACCATTATTTTATAGCAGAGGGGGGAAAATAGTGCAATTCTTAAGAGAATTGTTTAAGAATAACAACAAAACATCACTGTGGGGGCCATGGGCTGTGCAGGTCAAATGCTCCATTTCTGAAAGGGTTTGTAGGGAAAGGTTAGTGCTCTCTCACTTCTGAAACCTGGCTGGTCCAGACAGACACTGTGGCAAAGCCTGCTACGGCAGGCACAAGGCATAAAACACACCAGGAGAGGAAGGAGAATAAGCTTTGACACTTAGGTTCTTGTGACTTCAGCAAAGTGTTCATCTTTCCCAAGATTCCTCCTCTCTGAAATGGTAATAAAACCTGTAGTGGAGGATTGTTATGAGAGCTTAATACCAAATTCAGAAAGTGTCTTACCCTTTACAACTCCATATATTGTAAATTAGCTTATGTTTAGCCTGCATTGACTAAATACATTTTCTTTTCTTTTCTTTTTTTTTTTAATGATTTTATTGATTTCAGAGAGGAAGGGAAAGGGAGAGAAAGAGAGAAACATCAATGATAAGAGAGAATCATTGATCGGCTGCCTCCTGCATGCCCCCTACTGGGGACTGAGCTTGCATTCTGGGCATTTGCCCTGACTGAGAATTGAACTGTGGCTTCCTGATTCATAGATCTACACTCAGTTACTGAGCCACACTGGCCTGAGCTATATGCATTTTCTTATGGACTGCATTAATGACAAAACAGCTATTAACATGTTGTTTACCATTAACACAGTGCGGAACCATATGGAAAGGACTGGGCACCTTTCAGATGTTATCTAAATCCTTATCTTCCTTTTTTAGTTTATGCTACTCTGAATCACTGCTTGGTTTTTTCCCCGTTTATATATCAGGAATTTATTCACTTTCTTATTTCAGGTTCCTTCTTGATGGTCTCACAAAATTCTTGATTTTTGCTTTTACAACTGCTTAAAGTTTATTTCAAGTACAAGGAATTGGCTCCAACAATTATGGAGGCTGAGGAGTTGCAAGATCTGCCTTTGGCAAGCTGGAGACTCGGGAGGAACAGTGGTATAGTTCCGGTTCAAATCCAAAAGTCTGAGAACCAGGAGAGCCAGTGGTAGAATTCTAGTCCAAAAGTCAGTAGGCTCCAAACCGAAGAACAGCTGGGGCTTCGGTCTGAGTCCGAAAGCTGGAGACCACCTCCCAGCTTAACAGTCAGTCAGGAGGAATTCTGCCAGCCTTTTCGTTCTACCAGGCCTTCCATTGATTTGGATGAGCCCGCCCGGATTACAGAGGGAACTGCTTTAGTCAGTGTTACTGACTCAGATGTTAACCTCATCCAGAAAAATCCTCATCAGCACACTCAGAATAATGTCCCATCACCCCATGACCCAGTCAAGTTGACAAACTGGCAAATACAATTAATCATCACATCCATCAAATGCCTTCAGTTTGTCAATCCAGTGGCCTGTTACAATGTTCAAACTGCTTTGGTAGAAATAATCCTTTCCAGAATTGACTTAATTTTTTTAAGAAATAGATTCCTCTGTGGCAAAGATGCCATGGTTCTTTTTGTGGGATAAAATAAAACATTTTTTTTTTCAAACTCCAGAATTCTTCCAGAAGGTTATTTCAGTCTTATGCTTTATATCTTCATGTAAGTTATATGTTTGTGTGATAAGAATCAAAATTTGGAAGCGCCCTATTCTATTTTGGCACCCATTACTTTGCTGAAAGTTTCATTAAGTGATCTGAAGCCCTTTGTTTCATATGACACTTGAGCACATTGTTAACTTAAGAGATA